GACTACATCCAAAAGAACGGGGCCCGGAGCCCCGCCCGGCGGCGGCGGGAGGAGCCCCGGAGCGCCCCCGGGGGCTGGGAGGGGCAACACGGGCCCAAAGTCCCTCCTTCGGGGCTCGTTCAGCCGCCGCCGCTTGTCTGAGGGGAGCACGTACCCCCACCACCCCCGGCCTCAAAGGTCGTCACTGAAAATCTGCCTCTTGGAGCACAGCCGCGGTGATCTCCCACGGGGGCAGAGCGGTTCACCGCCCCTCAGCCTCCCAAGGCAGGACCTGCTGACTAGTAACACTTCCTACAACCTTCTCATGAAGTCACTGATTCAACACTGACATTTTTAGTGTGACTTAAGAAGGAATCTCTTAAACTTTCTATCAGATAGTTCAGCATCATTGGTCTCCTTATTAATTTTCATAGGAAGAACACAGATAAAAGGTCACTCTCGTCAAACATGCCATTCGCTAAACAGTGGCATATCATCATCTGAATAGATTGTACTTACACGTGAAGATTTTGTATCACGACACATAGAACACAGCAGGAGAAATATTTTTCCAATTCATTTTTATTGTAGTTTCCATTGTTTACAGCATTGATACAGGAATAATTCATGCAAATTTATCACCTTAAATACAGCAGAGAGAAAACTCACTGGTAAGAGTATTTTGAAGAGCTCCATCAACATAACACAATGAGAAAAATAAGTAGCAGCAATAAGATAAAGTGCATTTAGCTGACCTTCTTTAATAAGAGTTTGGAGATTGTTTTTGGAATTACCTGTTCTAAGGATTAGTTTACTATTCTTTAGGAAAATCAGAACGGTTCACTCCTCCACTACTCTGAATTAAAGAAGTGCAGCTGTATTTTGTTTAAAAGGAATCCAGATCATAGGCCTTTCTTTTAAAAACTTGATTCTTGATCACTTGGGCTTCTAGGGACAAGGGTTAGAGACATACTCAAAAACTCTTCCCTCCCGTGTTAGCAGTTTTGCTTCTTAAAAAATTCATACGGTTCTTTCCCCCATTCTATAGATTAGGTTTCAGCACTACAACGAGAATGCCTACATCACCAAAATCTGAACAGCTGCAGAAACACACATTGACAAGACACCAGATTCTAAGAACACATCAATCTCTTTTCCCTTCACAGATCAGACACTGGCTTAAAGATGAGCTCATTTATCAGATTTCCCCTAAAGGCCTGCTGAGGAGATGCTAACACCGCACGTCTTCAAAGGCAAGGTCAGCATTTCAGGTAACCTAGAGCCGCTGAGCAGTGGTACAGCGTCATCTCCCTCCACCTGGAACTCACAATTTCCTGGTGTATTAGGGACGTGCTTAACGTTTTAACTCAATAACACAGCACATAGCCTATTATAAACATATGTGACAGCTGAGAGCCTGGAGATGCAAATTTATTCACATAATACCTGCAGCAGAGTAACAGTGGATGATTGCACTTACCACAAGCCTAGAGAACACACTTCCAGAGGCAAGGACTCAAATTCCTTTCTTATTCATTCTCAGATCTGATCTAAGCCATATTTATGGCCTGGTGGCTGCCTGAGGAAACCAACCAAGCCCTCTGATGAAAGACACTTCAGTTTGGTTTGGATTCAAAGCTAATGGAAGCAAAATGTTTGTTTGCTTCCTGCATTCCAGGGACATAACAGAAGTCTCACTGCCAGATCAAGATACTTCAAGTCTTACTGCCTGAAGTACATACTGACATTTCACTACTTTTACTCCCTCAAGAATCAGGCAGCTTCTTCCTTCTGGAACTTCCATGACACACAAAACAGACTTGTAACAGGCACATATATTCACACCTGAGCATGAACGAGAAATCCTAAGGCCAGTTGATACCATTTCCAAGAAAAAATTCTCATTGCCAGTAAGAAGGAAAAAAAAAAAAAATCCACGCTTAGTAGTTCTGAATTCATCTGGGACCTGCTCAAAGATAGCCCATATTTTCTGAAGTTTGATGCTGAAGAGATTTAGGTTGTCACTAACCTCAGAATTACAGATCTGATTCCTGATTCCTCAGACAATTTATGGGGAACAGAAAGGTTATACCCAATACATGGCAAAACACTGACCCACTAAGTGGAAAACAAACTTTGCAACGTAGGAACCTAATCCTGGTACTACTGTAATCAGTGGGAATTTCTCCTCTATCATATCCAAAAGGAAGAGACTCAAAGTTTCTACGGTTCACAAATCTCATACTCCATAAGTACCCCAGGGCAAAATTCAACAATTAATTTGATCTATTTACAAATAAAGAATTTAAAAAAAAAAAAACATGGTTGCCTTAACCCATTGTTGCCCTGGCATGAAATACAAGGGGGACATCTCCTGTCCACCCCAGAGGAGCTGCACTTGCCAGCTCATTCTCATACTTTTAACAGAAGAGAAACAACATCAAATCATATTACTGCACGGACTGTAACATCCTATGGGAACTCTGCATAAAGCAAAATCTCTTACAGCTTGTAATCTGCATGCTGTTCTTGTGGCCAAATTGTGGTAATGGAATTCCAAAGGCCTGCTTCCAGAAACACAGCTGTGCATTTCCAAAAAAACCCCACATTCATCAACTTGTCTCATAAGGCATTCTGTCAATCAGCTTTTCTTTCCTATTTTTCTTCCTCAGCAACCTGCCAAATTATCAGCACTATCTCCTTCAGAGAAGCCAGTTACATCTTTGCAAACTTTTTGTCTATGATGTGAAATGGGCTAGACTGCATTAATAAAGAGCTCTTAAGAGGAAGAAACGAACTCCAAGACAATAAGCTTACCAAAGCAAAATCTCTGTCTTGCTTTGGAAGAGAACTGGGTTTTGTTCATAGGTTTAAACATACTGACTGTAACAAACCTCCCTACGAAGGGACATGGTGACTCTGTCATGTTTTGTAATAACGGAATATTGACCTAGGAGTTAGGCCTGCATGGGCTATAAATGCACTGTGAAACCATCATTACAGCTGTGTGCATGAGGCCTTTGTTTAGACAAACAACTGCTTGTCACATACATTAACTTGGGGCTTGGAATTCGAAAGTTCTATCTTCATGTAGTAAAGTCAGAACAATTTTTAACCTAATAAATACTTGTTTGTTTTAAAGTTGTTACTGTACTTGATTTTGCTTTAAAAAGCCCCCTGTAAATGTATGAAGCATTCATTCCTTCTGAAGTAGCCTGGTCTTACAAGAAGGAAAAAGAAGAGTTATAAACAGCTAGTGTTTAGAGGTGGGACACAAAATGGGGAGGCAGAATCCTACTGTTCACACAGCAATAGGCTTCTGCTCATTCCCTTTAGGGAATTCCATCACCCACCATGTTCTCTGCAGTAATTAAGAGAGCACTGAAGGAAAAGTGCTGATCGTCTCTTCTTCCCAAACTATCTGCTTTGCTGAAGGTACTGATGTGTGAACATGTTGAGTTCACTGTCAAGCCAACCTGCTTTATTCCTGCAAAGACAGAAAATCTTCATTAGGTGAGTAAATAAGCCCTTCTCAGGCCAATGTGAAAGAAGCATGACTAAAATGAGTAAACAGCAAGGCCTGAAGAGGAGTGTCAGAGGTCCATTCCAAAATGCTGCTACTCTTCCTTGCCCTGCCTCAGGTCAGGAGCACTTGCCTGCTAACAGTCCCTAGGCTTTCAGCTTCAAACTGAGATCTTGCTCACAGCTTCACACTGATCTTACTGTGCTGGTAAGGAAGGTTTGAAAAATTCTTCCCAACAGCCTTTGCAGGGTGAAGAAAACATGAAGAAAAACATCAGACAACTGTGTACAAAAGGCAAAGGTGAGACTTTTTGCATAATTTTATAATAGCCTGAAGGAGTTCGTAGGAGTAGGGGACTGTACATTTTGATAAATACAAATGAACTGTAATTGCAAACAAACCAAAAACAAGAGGAAAAAGGTGTTTTGTGCGACAGAATATTTAAATGACTGTCAGCTGTACATGGTAAAGTACACAGTGAAAGGAAACACGACTTGGTAGGGAAAGATGCTGATGTCTGCACATCAAACACTGACGGAGGAAGGACTGCACTTAAAGATACACCCTAATCTGAACATTTTAGGGCAATCACATGACAAACAATTGTGTGTAAATGTTTGTGTATACAGGATGGTAAAATCTCACCTGAGCAGTTTTGCTTTACTCTGCAGCGAATCCAGAACTTCAATTTTTTTATTCATGACAGAAATTTCCTGCTCAAGATTCTCCCGTGTGACATCCACTTGCTGACACAAATGAGCAAACGTTCCAGCAAGCTCTCTATGAAACAAGAAAAATAGCTGGATATGACAACTAAGATCAAGCAACAAATACAGGGAATAAATCCCTTTGCTGTATGGTCATACTGACTCAGATGTTCATCTTTTCACTTCTGCACAAGAATATATTAACAGCATCAGAGCAACTTGGTTTGAAAAATGGAAATACATTAAGACTAATGCTTAACAGTACCCAAATACTACATCGGTGATTCAAAAATAACTGTACTATTCTTTTAAAACACATGTATCATTACACATTCTAAAATCTGGCATTCAATATGCAGACGTATCTTGTTTAACAAGGAATATCATTTAAGCCCAAACAACAGAATTCAGAGAAGGTTTTAGATGAATATAGACAACTCACTGTTGGACTTGGTGGCTGCAATTAGAACCCGTATAACTGACGATGAGCTGCAACTTCTCACCAGCGTACTCTACAAACTGCCGTTTGAAAGCTCTCTCTTTTGCTTTTGTGGTCCAGGTGAGGCGCTCATATACATAAAGGAGCCCATAAAGGCCAAAAGAGAGAGCAATCAGTCTCCAACCCACAGCCTTCCAGACCTAAAAAAAGCACAAGGAGAAGCAAATAATAGGATCATCATCTAGGAACATGCTAACTCCTAACAATGGTGCAGGCAACATTGCATTTACCTTCTAGGCACATGAAAATGAGCTAGAGAGATAACCCTGAGGTCAGACAGCTCACTACTGATGCCCAGTCTACAAAATAAAAATACCTAACCCAAACTATTGGGGTTTTGTATGTGTTAACCTGGTTCACAGAACCTGTTTCTGAAGTAAAAGATGCTTTTAAGCAGCTATCTCCCCTTTGAGAAATCATCCACTGCTAGACACTGTGACACCAGAATAGCATGTAGGTATGGAACTGGTGCTACAGAAACTCAGGTTCTTCCTGCAGCAGGAACTAGTTAACATGCAACTTGAGTTAGATCTCTTACGCCTCTGCAGTTTGGGGAGGTTTGAGATTCAAAACATCCATTATTTTCAAAAGACAGAAAAGCAGGAAGTGCTGATTTTCTCCAAAATAAATTAGACATAGTATCTAAAATTAAGTGCCCTCCTCCCCTTCCAGGAAGGAAGATACACATCATCAGAGGCTCTTCGTAGACCTATCTGTCCTGATTCCTTTATAAATGGGAAAACTAGTTTTCTCACAAAAAAAAAAAAAAAAAAAATTGAAAAATCGGGGCACTATTTAATGCTTTTGTAACTTATTTTGACGGGTTATCTTCACAACAAACCTGGGTCCAAGCCTAACTATTATGGAAAATAAGCTCAGTATTTATACTCAAATGGGAGATCAAAGGAGAAAGTATTTCACAATCTGTGAATAGCAACTATCTCCAGGACCTGGCAGTGCAAGCACTTTTCAAGTCTGTGCTCCAAGATTATTTATATAAATTTATATAAATGCTGCTCGGACTGCCAACGCACCACACCACCAACCACGATGATCCCCATGGAAGTTCGGGAAGTTAACGAGGCCAGTCCAGTCACCATTGACACCATGAGCTCTTCCTGGGTCATAGAGCCCTGAGGCAAAGGAGGCAGACTGGGATTTGCTGGTGTTAAAGGGCGTTGAACCTAATTAGAAAAGCAGCAACAAAACAAAATAAAAACAAAGTACATAATAAGAGAAGGCAAGCCACTGCCCTTCCCACCAAAAAGACTTCAACAGCTACTGAAGTGATGAATATCACATCTACCATAATCACTCAACAAGGTATCTTACCTGGTCATTATAACCCATCAAGGCCCGACGACCATTCTTTGGTCCCAAAAACCTGTTCACCAGCATTGTCCATCCAAGAGAGAAATGGAATTCTATGTCCTCTTGGAAGTCAGCACAAAGCTTGTCACAGTTCAGATCATAGCTGAGTGTGAAGCACTGTCGGGGAACTAACATGTCTATCTGGCCCCGCAAAGAGACTGGGAGAAGGGGTTTTAAGCCATCTGCACAGACAAAAAACAAAAACGTTTTAAAAAGGCTACTGAGTTCACAAGAATTAACTGAACTCGTATTCTGTAATCAGGGTGGTTTTGTGTTGTTCCATCGTCAGCAGTTATTTTTCTTAGTACCTTAAACTTCCTAAAGCCAATCATGTTGCAAAGCAAGAGATACATCACAAGTCACTATTTGATTCTTAGTTCTTCAGATCAACACAGGAGGAAATCTTTCCATGGATACTCCTTATCATTACAGGTAGCTGGTGAAGTTTACAGTTTAGCCATAGCTTGCAAAACAGAATCTGAAAGCCAGTTCTAAGACTGTTCAGGCACCATACTCCTATTAAAGCTTATATTCAGACAGGCACCTAGTTACAAGTTATTCACATTTCATTAGAATTTTGCTCTGAGAATCTCTCAAGTTTCTGAAGTCACAGTTCTTCTCTGTCCTGAGAATTAAGCTGATTTTATATATTCATTAGCAAATCACCGCACAAGCTCAGAGAGTGGAAAAAGCAGGAGGAACTAGTCCTCTACACAACATCATTACTAATCAAGATGGAAAGTAAGATGATGTCAACCGCACATCAGCCATCAGATTAAAAGAGAAAGCCAGTTATTTTGAATTACAGTTAAAGTGAAGATAAAGGGAAATAGCTGAACTGACCTATCATTTCTTGCTGCATTGTCTGCAGCGAAGATGTGATTGCGTTGGAGCAACGATCTGACATGTTACGTCCCAGGCCTTCTTCAATATGTTTATGCAACTCCTGGCAAACAAAGGAAGAGTTATTAAGCTTAAAATAAACATCGGTAAGATGTACGCTACAGGTACTAGAGCTCACAAGTTAAAAAAATTCTCCTAGAACAGAGGCATGCTTTCTGTCTGCCCACTGTTCTACCATTAATTTCATTCCCCTCCCTCCATTTCCCAGTGAAGGAGAGGAAAAGGTAAATTTAAAAATCTCACACGTACTCTGTAGTCTAGAAAGAGTTCTGTTTGATCTATACAATATGATACATCACATGCATACCAATTTACCACTGAGATTATTTAAAAAATAATCAATTTCTTCCTTTTTTTTGATGTTCACTTTTTACAGACGCTATCCAAATGCAAGAGACATTCTAACAAAAGATTTTTCACTGTATGAAAAGCTTAGCTCCTATTACTGAGCTCAGAGCAGAAAAAGGCCTCTTTGAATTGCTTAAGCAACCTGTATGAAGCAAACAGCACTTACACTCTTGTAAACTTTAAGAACTACTTGAGATGGATGGAAGTCTGCTTGGTATTCATCCACCAGCACTGAAAGCCGTCTGATTTCTTCTGCCATTGCATTTGACACCTAGAGAAACAGCACAGGACAGAGTTTCTATATATCCTGTCCTAGGGAGAGACAGAAAACCAGCACTGAAGACATTAATTTCTTAGTGAGCACTACTGAGCACTAGGCACTATGATTGTGCAGCACCAAGCAGTCATTGTGTACCAACTGCAAAATGCAATACTGGTGACTTGCAAACAAAGAAGATGGCCGAGAAATATGTAGATCTATGCTCTGTATAACAATGCAGACAGAAAAAAACTGAGCCAACATAAGACTTGAGAAAAATGTACAGGCCTTTTCTGTATATTCATACTAGTAAAAATGGCATGTTATTATTGTAAGACAACTGACATTACTATGAATAAGGAAACTTAAATATTTTAGTATTTTAGGAAACATTTAAGACTGAAATATAGTAGCAATAATAATTCAAACATTAATCAGTCTCATAGTTTTTTAAAATCATCTTATATAAGTCTCTCTGAAAGGCACCCCCAAGTATTGTAATTTTCTTTTTATTACCTAAAAAAACTTATTCTGAAAGTATTTCATGTCTTCCCATCTGTAACTCCCCCATTTCTAGTACTTCAAACCTGTCAGTGCTTTGCATTTTTCCCACCATGCCAGTAGTGTTTCAGACAATTTATTTTTTCTGCAGCCACTCCTCCTTACCTGCCTCTCCACTTCTTCTGTGATCTGTTTTATTTTCCGCTTGTAGTCTTGAGTAAGGAGCTCCAGCTGTTTGTCAATAAAACCTAAACGTTCCTGTCGTTCCTCTCGCATTTCCAGACAGTAAACACTGGTGAAAACAAAGTACCCATCAAAGAGCCAGATAAATGCATTTTTGATCTACAAATATCATTTCAACTCCAGAAACAAGACAGATTCTCTTGCCCAAGAACAAAATGTGTCAGAATCTACAACACACTACATACACATGGCACAGGACAAAGAAAAGGTTCTTTTCCCAGTACTCTCACAGTTCACTAGAAGCAAGACTACTGGTACACGTCCATCCCACTCCCAAACATGCTGTATTCTACTCTGCGTTTTAGATGTTCATATTCCCTTAAATTTCTCCCAGAAGACAAGCTTCAGATATGCAAGCACCAAGCCCTCCTCACCGCTGTTCCTGGGCAGCAATATGCACAGAATCCATGATGAGACGAACGTCTTCCGCAATCTGTTTTGCTCTCACTGTATGCTGCTCAAATTTTGTTTTTACTGCTGACTGCGAGATACATTCCTGCATATAAAAGGCAGTCCAAGATGAGCAGCAGGCAGGAGCACGCTAACACAACTTCTCCCTCCCATATAATCTAGTTTCAAAACAAGGTCCTGCTCCATGTTTATAAATTCTAGTTCCCAGCCCTTCAGGAGTAAAATCTAACAGGCTAGTAGGCATAACACTCACCTCAAATCTTCTCTCGAAGTTTTGGAACTCAAACATTCTTACTTGAAAACCATCTGCCAATGCTCCACCTGAGAGAAGGAAAGTACGAAACAATCACTTAAGTTTTAAGAAAGCAATCAGATGTTGGACGTCAGGAAACACTCCTGCTTTACCTTGAAGACAGTGCAAAAGTGCTGCTAAGTCACCTCTTTGCTTTTGACTGCTCTATTAATAATCTGACCCACCCCAATTTTATCCATTTTTTAGAACAAGATATTCTCTCCATTTTTTTAGAGGGAAGAAAATAAAGTTTCTGTTAGCTTTCCTCACCTCCTTCTGGCATCCCCTGAGCCCTCTGAATTCTGGCATTGAGCACTTCTTTTGCTGACACAAAGAAAATTCGATCCCCTGCCTGGGCTCGATCCACCACACCCAGTTCATCTACCAGGAAACTGGTACACCGCTCCATGTGCTGCCGACGGACCTGAGGGATAAACAGGATAAACCCCACATGCAGTTAAACCCACTTTATGCTCCATCTCTTAAAGGTTACACCAGGCACCCAGATGCCCTCTGCTGGTCTAAGCTCCAATACAAAATTTAAAAAAAAAAAAAAAAAAAAAAGTGTTTTATGGAATCTTCCAGAGGTAATCTTAAGTGATCTAACTTCAAACGCCCCAGTGAAACTCTATTTCCAGCTCAGAAATTTCAAGTCATGTTTTGATCACTGATCTATACACACTTTAGTCTCCACACTACGGTAATAAAAATCCAAACTGTAAAACAATCACATACACCACTTTGATTCCACCTGCAAGGCCCAGAGTCAAAATGGACTCTAATATCCATGCAAAGAGAAGAAATTTAAACACATCACAAACCTCCTCCATGTACTCTGGTTCAGATGCAGATGCATCCCAGCGGTTATTTAAAATAAATATATTGGGCCGAGACAGACGTTCATTCACCTTGTGAAAGAACTGTTTCTCCTAAGTAAAACAGAACAAAACCTCTTAAGATTAACATGTCAAAATTTTTTAACTTTCAGCCAAATTCACTGAACAAGTGGACTTGAACATACAGTTTGCATCAATGTTGATTCAGAATTTGCCACCAGGACAAATACATCAGCATCTAGACAGAATTTGTCAATCCAACTGTCCAGCTCAGTGGTTACATCAATGCCAGGGCTAGCAATAAAAAGAGAAGAGACATTAGGATGCTATAGAAACAGCAAAAATGGAATTTAAAAAGTTAATATGAAATGTGTTTCAGCTTTTCAGGGCATCAAATTCCCATGTCTGAGCTACAGTGTCCTGAGGCAATACAGAGTACAGACTAAAAGGAAGTACCAATCAAGAGAAACTCTGAGTACTAACCACAGCAAAGGACTTTAGTCACTGTCATAGATTAGAACAGGGTCAATTTCCTCGATGTTTGTTAAATTTGTACTGTAAGACATTTGTCCAATTAATCTGTGATAAGCAGGAAAGGAAAGAAAGGTATTTCTCACCTGTCCATCAGCACCAGGTCATCCTTTAAGAGAGGACATTTGGAATTGGGCCACATTACGCTGACTAGGCTGCCAGCATTCAGAAGCTCATCTTGATGAAGGGCATGAGCCAGCTGGTTCACTGTCTATTAAAGACAGATAATTTATAACATTTCTTGTATGCTAAAACCTATTAACACAATTACCTCCTCTTCAGGGCTGTTCACAGTTTAAGATAAAATCAAAGTCCAAATCACCTTCTCACCAGGAGGTTTTCCACATAAAACTTGCTCGAGTCTCTTAGTCAAAAGACAACTAGTTTATGAGAGATTTTCCTGTCAAGAAATGTCACTGAGGAATTATCAGGAAGTCTGTGCCTTCTATCAGTCCTACAGAGCCCAGAACTCAGGCATCATTTTGGTTCCCTGCTATCACTAACAAATACAACATACTGTCTTTTTCATAAAATGGTCAAGTAACTTACTCCATTCCTCCCTTCCTACATCTATCAAAAACCTGTTCTCCATCTCTATTCCTTTAGTGATTAAAACCCTTAACTGTGAAATTTATTTACAGTGTTTTAATTTTCTTGTTCCTTCCCTTTTCTGACACTTCTGAAGAGCTCTTCTCCTTTATCTTATGCTTAAGAAAACTGTACCTTAACACTCTTCTTTTCCTCTGAGCCTTCAGTAAGCAGGAAAGCTTCATGTCCATCTGTCCCTTCTACACGCAGGAAACAATTTGTGGTGTGTCCAATTCCTGACGGAAGGACTTTGTCCCATAGCATGGCATTTATCACAGTGCTTTTCCCATTGCTCGTCCTGAAGGCAGATTAAAAATGGGACAGCTAGGCTTCTGAGAGTCAGGTATACTCATTTTAAAATTACAGAAAGCAAGGTCTCTAAACTCAAGCAACATCAGAAGCATTAACAATTTAAGTACCATTGGCAATTTACAAAGAGACGTTTCAATTTTCTTATTTTAAGAATTCTTCCAAATCAAAGAATTATGTGCTACAGTATTTGTTTCCAATTTACAAGAGGATTCATATGAGGGACATGGACGTTACAGGCAAAAGCTGGAGCACTGGTGTTTCTATAAATATATTTTACTGGCTACAATCCTAAAGAAGCCAGTTGCTTCACTAAGTGGGGAAGCATAGGCAGCATAAGCACGTGACTCACCTTCCAAAAAAAGCAACTTTCATATGTCGCCTTGCCAACACTTCACTAATGCCACTGACTTTTGACAGGTAGCCTTTGACTTCCAGCACCTGCTCTTCTGTGGTGACAGGATCAAGCTCTATATTCTTGTGTGTTTCTAAAATCAAAATACATCATGTCTCTAAATTCCAGAAGTCATCTCTCTCAGTACTGGGTGAAACATCTCCTTCACAATGTAACACACTTAACTCAGAGTTTGTGTCCCAAAGACCGTGTGGGTAATCCTGACACATGCAATTACACCCTGAGGTGATTTTGCATTAGCATTTATCAGCTGATCTCTTTTGTGTATCTAAAAACCATTCTCATCCTTAGCAATGCTTTAAATAGAATGCAGCCAATACTTTCAAACACTCCAACGTCCTTAAATATATATATATATATATATTCTGTCTGTGTTTTATGCTGTTAAAGCCAATTATTGGCATATGGTATATGTGTCACCAACAATGACATCTCCAGGCAAGAATATTTAAAGAATTATAGGCAAAAAACATAAAGGGTCTTCTACAATTTATTAGAAAACTCCCAAACATGAAAACCCACGCATGGTTCACTAACCAGTTCAGTTTCCTAACATGTGTGAACATGTCAGCTTTAAAATATAAACCCTGAACTCCAGCCAAATTCAATAAAATAATTTCCTGTTCTTATAAATACTGATAGATTAACAGACACGCATATATAAATAAGCACAAGTGTATGAGAGCCATTTAACCAAATGAGGGGTTTTTGTGTGCCTGAGGGAACCACTGTTACGCACTTGCAGTTCAAAAATTCAGCTTACCTTCCAGGAATGAGGAGCTCTCATTGATGTATGCAGCCAATTGTTCGAAGATACCATTGATTTTCTTCTTTGCAGTGACAAAATGTTTAAGTGGAGATGCATTTACCTCAGCCATGTGTCTTTTATCCTTCTTCACTGCAACTATTGACTTGGAACGCGTAAACAACAGGGACATTGCGCTACAGGGAAAAACCCAGTAAATAAAGGTGGCTCACCAAGTGCCAACAGCTATCCAGCTAAGCATTCTACCAAAAACTAGGTAAGTACACGTTTTAAAAACATTTTTTCTTTCACAAATAAGTTGTTCCACTTTCTACAATTGGAAATTACTCCTTCTCCGTTCCAACAAACAGGCCCCCCGCGATCCCTTCTGCTCTCCCTCCGCTTACTTTCAGGATGAGTTCCGTTTTCACAAGTCAGGCATGGTCAGCTCGAAGCCCTCCTGAACACGGACGAGTGCAGTATTCCTGCCCCCTCCTTCACCCTGGCCAGGCCCCGTCCCGCAGCTCTTTCAGCGACGCCGACTCCAGCCTGTCCCCGTCTCTGCGGCAGAGGGACCGGCGGATGAGGGACGCAGGCGGCCGAGCTCCCTGCGGGGCCAGGCTCTGCTCCCCCGGCGCCCGGGGGGATGCACGGGGCAGAGGCTCCGGGCGGCCGCCATCGCCTTCCCCTCGGAGCTGCGGGGGCGGGGGGTGCGCGCCAGGAAAAGGGCGGGAA